TAATGAAGGCATTGTAAGCTCTGACTTTTGCAAACTCTGATAGAAACCAATCTGCAATCTTGACAGATATGATCTTTTCCAGGATGCACTGTTCATTTACAGCAGCAAGAGACCTCAATTAATTTACGAACGAGGACAGCAGACTGTGAACTCATCTCAGCCTAGGTGGAGATGTCCCTGTCTGAATTTATGTTCTGGTAATTTAAAAAGATTTATATTAAGCTTTTCTTTCATTTTGAGAGTAGATTAAAATTCTAATGGAAACCATTTGTATGCATTTGTTGAATTGAATAATAGTTATTGCTGTGTGAAAATTGGGGGGAGAGGGGGAGGGGGGAAGAAATGCTGCAAAACTTTACCAGCCATAAAGTTAGTGAGGCAGGAATAAGTAAGTACAGAAGAAGCAAAAAACCAAGCCTAGAAAGGAAATACTTACTAAAGGCTGAAGAAATCCTACTGTTTTATATGAGTGTAATGAAAACAATTAATGGTGTTTTTAAGCAAAGATAAATAAATGAGAGTACACAGTGTGTGCATATCTGCACACTGGGCTTCAGTCCATCTGCTAAAATCCTTTTTGCTACTTGAGGTGACAGGCCTTGGATTTGCATGACTGGACCAGGTTGTTCACAGTTTGGACCTTTCATTCAGTAATGCCAATCCCCTCTCCCTCTCTGTCTGAGGGAGCCATAGCACTCTGACCTTCCAGATGTGTAGCAGAGCCTATTTATTTCCTCAAGAAGGAATTTTTTTAAAGCACGTAAATGATTTAGGAGCACAAATACCACTGTAAATCAGTGCGCCAGTGGGACTTGAACTTTAAGGCCTGGTTTAGGTCCAGTTTCTGAACCAGAATAACTATTTCCATTAGGAGTGTGACTTTTTTTTTAACCAAAATATTTTACAAATATAACCCCTAGAGTATATGTAAGTAAAGTGGTATAATGACGCCTTATTCTGGTGTAGCTTATTCATGTACAGGAAGAGGAATAAACTATGCTGGTAAGGAACACATATTAGTGTAACTGTATTTATGCTAGTGAGGCAACCTCCCCAGTGCAATTATAACAGTGCAGCTTTGTGTGTCCAGATGAGGCCTTAGGTGATCTTGAAAATTTGACCCTCAGACTCTTCTATCAGCAATTGGCTGGGTGTAAGCTTTTTCAGCTGGGAGTTATTTTTCTTAGCTGACTGGCTTGGTTGCTGAGCTGTGTATATCTATAATGTCCTTATAATTGTTTTGTACTGTGTGAGAATGCACACATGAGTGCATAAATGCAGATGGCACATTTGGGCTGTAAGCTCCTTGTAGCTGGGACTGTTTCTATACCTGAATATATAGCACTTGGCCAACTGTTGGTGTTATACAAACACCTGATGCAGATAAACTAAAATATTGTGCATTAGCCCAGAATAAAACATGGATTAATTACAAGTACTGAAAGGAAGAAAGTGAAAGGGAGACAACACTATAGAAGTCACCTTGTACTGGTATACTGTGGGTAGGGATTACAGAGAATGCCAACAGCTGGAAAGCCTTGAATAAACCTATTCAATAAACATATGCATAATTTAGGCAAGATCACACTTTTAATCCCTTGAATCAGAGAAGTTACTGCTGGAAAAAATAAAAATCAAAGAATATTTTTAATATATTAAGATGTGCTCCATGTCATATGCTAATTTTTATTTATCACTTATCAGTTGTATCATCTGAAAGTGTATGTGGTTGCTTATATTAGTTAAAGAAAGTCATTCAATTTGATTCTTGGCAATAATAATCTAGTACTATGAATAGAGAAGTAATACAGGATCCAGATATACCCCCAAAACCACAAGATCAGTCACAAATAGTGGAAAAATCTTTAAGGATTGATCAGACTTTGTTTGGAGCCAGCATCTCATGCTCTTTCTTGGGCTTGGTCATATTTTATTTTGTGTACAATCCCACAGAACCAGTGTAGATATGAGTCACTGTGAGGTGACAGATTATACAATAATGGGAACCTTAGTATGGATTCTTTCAGTATCTCTTAGGCTGAAATCTCTAGATGTGGGTGCTTTTAAATTGTACTTTATATTGGGGGCTGGAATTTTTTTCTTCCAGAATGGATAAGCACTCTGAGATGAATGGGACGGATCCAACTCAAACCCCCGGAGTGATTCTGGTGTCCCTACTCAGTTGGTCTCAAAGGGACTTTCTGTGCAGCAGCTCACTAGAAGAAGGGGGGTTGGGGGGAGCAGACTTGAGCCATTGATGAATTACTAGCAAGCAGAACTATGCAAAAAGCACTTTGTTTCTGTTTTGTCCTGCAGTGAGAGCTTGCATAAATAACCATCCCCTCATTGTACAGCTCTCTGGAGTATAAGTCTTTTCCTTCCTTATTTATCTCAACAATTACATTTCACTGAGCTATACAATAAATCCCCTCTTTTATTAATACAATGCATTCCTCCCCCCACACCACCATTCTTCTCTTGCCTTCAAGGATTTCATTTGACAAAGAACTTGCTAATGAAAATGCAAATTTCCTACCTGTCAGAGAACCCTTTTGGCTGCTGTTTCAGTCTTGAGCGCAAGATTCCTCCCAACCGCCAGTGTTTTGACTCCACTGAAGCTAATGGAATTGTTCCTTGTTCTCCTAGGGGCCTGGATTTGAGCAACTGTGCACATGGAAAGGAACATATTCTACTAAATGAGTAGGAGAAATATTAGTTTATTCAATTTTGGGACATAAATAAAAGACAGATAGATTTAAAGTCCTGTTAGTCATTGATTTATTCCAGTAATTCATCCATTTTCTATTTAGTAATTCTGTTGCAATTTAATAGACATCTAACTTCTTTTCATTTGCTAGTGATGCATAGCAATTCTGGCTCTGATAATACCCATCTAATCTTATCTACCTATCTAGGCTTGTAAGAAGCCATGCACATAAAAACATGGAAGGCACTTAACTGTGTAGGTTAGCAGATTAAACAGTGTCCTTTGGATTTACAGTTCCTATTTAAGTCAAGTGAACAACCTTACAGTGGTTTAAGTGTGAGTACAGAAATAGGCATTTGTGTTCTGGAGATGCTTAGAGATTGGAAAAAGGGAGTACACTGTCCTCAGAAAAGAAAACCTCCTTTCATTTAGCCTTTGGAAAGTTGTGCTTGGATTGCTTACCTTTTTTTCCTTGGAATGCCTTGGTTACAGCGAATGAAGGATTTGTTTCTGCGTGTTCTTATGGGTTTCTCTGGCCAACTACCCATCAGTATGACTGTGTTTAGAGTAAAACAGTGAGTGAAATCCTGGCTTCACTGAAGCAGCAAAACACCCACTGACTTTTGTGGGTCCAGGATTTCACATGTGGTGTTTGCCGGTGAAAGGTGAGGAAAGGGGTGCATAATATCAACAGGATTTTGATAGAGTTTTTAAATCTACCAATCACCCTTGCTTGTTTGTAAGAATAAAGCATACAGCTCTGTTCTGTGTCTTCTGGGTTTTCTCCCCAGTGATACTTAGACACACGAATGAACACATGCTCAGCCCTCTCCTTTCATTTTTTTCCCTATCTCCCATTTTAATCCTTTCTGGGTCTTCACTCAGACTTCCTAGAGAAACTGCTTATTTCTCCACTGCCCTTGTGCCACAAGCAGGATGTACAGTGCTGTAGACTTATCAACTGGGCTGGAGCAATGTGCCACCACAGCTCTACTGCTTAGTACCTGAGCTAGCTCAGATGTCCCTCTACAGGTCACTGCGTTGTGTTTTATAGATGGACCCTCTGTGTTCAACAGCACGAATTAAAAATACCAAACAACCAAATGTCATTGGAGATAATTCTCTCTGCCTTGTAAGAATGGCAACAGGAATCATCCTATGTAGTTTTCATAGATTTCATAGATTTCATAGACATCAGGGCTGGAAGGGACCTCGGAAGATCATCGAGTCCAGCCCCCCTGCCCAAAGGGCAGGAAGTCAGCTGGGTTCATAGGATCCCAGCAAGATGAGCATCCAGTTTGCTCTTGAAGGTGTTCAATGAAGGGATGGCAGACCCTTCTGAGGGCATGAAGCCTGCCAAGTTTCAATGCTGAACATTAATGGTTAGCAGGGAATAATGGAAAGTATCTGAATTTCTGATGCACATACAGGTTTCTTCTGCCCGCCTGACTGCACAGGTCTTGAAACCACAGAAAACAAAGGACTTCACTTTCTAACATGGCCAGTTAATGATTCTCACGAGCACAGAAACCTCCTTCTGCACTGGATAGGCGTGACTAGGGCTTCCAATTCTTCACGGGTATGTAGTATGTTTTAAAAAGAATAATTTTCAAAGATGACAATTCCAGTGAAGTGAATAATGCTTTCCAAGACTCAAAGCTACTGAGCAGTATGTCCTTAGCTGCAGAGATCATAATGTTCAATGTTTTATTTGAATTATTAAAATGCAATCCTGCGCAATAATCATTACTGCACAGCTTCAGAAACATTTACCAGAGATGCGGTCCTGGCAGAGTAAGTATTAGTGACTTTAATGGATAGTTGCTGCAATAGGGAAGAAGGAGAACCTGCACTTCAGACTGAACTGTGCTCTCCACAGCAGCAAACAACATTGATTCTAATATCGATTCCATACAGAAATTTTTTGCTTTATATTTTAGAAATAATCCCCAGCCCGCTCTCAACAGATCAGATGTCACTTCACTTTCCTGTACTTGAAATAACACTGAAAGCAGGTTGTTGACAGCTTCAGGCTTCTGCATAGTCAGCACTATAAGAGAGCGGCATAGACACGAGCAAAAGTCAAATGGTCTCCCAGGAGCTCCAACCCATTAAAACAATTGCTAAGGGAGCAAGAGAACTATAAACATCTGCAGTATGTCTCCTCAGCATATGGCAGTGCCTTTCAGTCCATCTCCTTTCTGAGACAGGTCTGTGCTGTATGATTGCACCCAGATGTGAACTTTCACTTAGTTCAAAGATTTTTACACAGCCCAGGATTGAAACAGGGGGCAATTGCAAAGTATAGGATCCAGATTAACACGTCCTCTGACTTGACTATGTTCTTACAAAGTGGTGTGGCATGGGCTCCTCTGCTTGGGATTACGACTCTGAAAGCCTTCAATGCCCTCATGGAGCTGGTATCCTCTTTTTTTTTACAGGGACTGATTTCTGTGAAGAAATGCACCTAAGAGAGAAATATGTTAATGTGCAGAAAATATTTTCCTGCTGGGTCAGTGAAAGTGATTAATTACTAACAAAAATAAAATCCAAAGCCTGTCCTGTGTGAAAGGATGGGTCAGTTTCTTGCCACTTCCTCCCTACATTGCTACATGAGCGGTATTTCGCTACATTGCTCTTTTGGACAAATACAAAAATCTCTGGGTTCTTGTATTTTTGTTTTAATGAGGTACATTAGCAACTCAGATGACATTGCTTATGAACCTCAGCCTAATGCAGAGAAAACAACACTTTTTACATGTAAATGTTTCGTGAATGACTAAACAGTTATTTGTCGCTTTGACATCCTTCACTTAAAGCGCTAGAATTTTGTAGGCTGGCCAGCTGTCAGCAATAAACAGGTAAACAACCTGTTTTTTAGGATATATTTAGAATAGATATCTATATATATATTAGCAAATGCCACATGGATAATCTTGCTTCAGTGATAAACATGTTTTAAAGGGTAAAGTAGGCTGGGAACAATTGACTTGTTACTTAACCTTAATTAAAGCTATTTTAGGAGATGAGATGAATATGAAGATGTCACAGAAGCTTGATAGTTTGGGAAAGGTAAATCATGTAATGTTCAATTTATGTGTACCTGCGTGCTTGCTCATTACAATCAAGAATAAACAAGATCTCATTAGCAAAGCTCCATTCTTCTTAAGTCTGTGCTTAAAATGTTTTTGGAAGTGGGAATGAGCACTAAATGACATCAGAAACAGACACAGAAATAGAAGTTGTAACTTTCCCAATTCCTGCTATTTAAACTACTCTGCCACACATTCTGAGTACTGAGCACCATTACTGCAATGCAAGGAGAGACTGTGAGTAATGGAGACTGGGGACTGTTTTTCATAATGTTTGAGCATATGGAAGAATTGGAAGGACTTATAATGCAGATTTGCTGTCAAGTATTACACTTAAAATACTAACAATCTAGAAAGGTACCATTCCTCAGAGGGGGGCGGGGCGCGCATGTGACCAGATTTCTGTGTTTCCTGGAAAGGAAAACAGAGAAGGGTATTCAATGTGGGTATTTAGAGAAGAGGTAGGACAGTTTTAAGGGTAGCATTGGAGTACCTTTTCTTGGTGCATTTGTAAGAGGATGTGGAAGAGGAGCCTTTGTGGATGGACAAGATAATAAGTGGGGTAATCAGATGATACCTGCAATTTTGTGAGTGAGAAAGTGTGGTGATCAATTGCCCATTTTAAAGCCGCATCTCCAATACTGGAGTTCCTCAAGGCAGAAGTGATTAGTAATGTTCCTCTTTGCAATACATTGGAAGATTGCTATCATGTCATCTTGCCTTCATTGTAATGCTAACAAGATCCCATCCTTTCAATCTTTCCTTACAGGTCATGTTTTCTAGACCTGTTGTCATTTTTATAACTCCTCTGGGCTGTTTCTAATTGGTCCAAATGTCTTTTGAAGTGTGTGACCCAAAACTGGACGCAGCGTGCCAGCTGAGACTTTACCAATGTAAACAACAATCTTATTTTTGCATCCTGGTATGATTGCCATGACTTTGACACAGGTTCAGTTTGCCATCTGTTATAACTGGATATATTTTTTTCTGCAGAATGGGTGCCTACTTAGTTGTCATTCCCCATTTTTGTAATTGCTTGATTGATTATTCCTACTGAAGTGCAGTGTTTTGCACTTGGCCTTATTGAATTGATCCTATTTATTTCTCCAGTTTGTCAGCATAATTTTGAATTCTAATACTGTCTTCCAAATTGCTTGCAACCTTTTGCAGTTAGCTAACACCTGCAAATTTAATAAAGGGTTTTTTTCTTTAGTTCACTACCAAGTCATTAATGAAGGTAATATATAGCACCAGATCCAGAACAGACTTCTGCAGAAATGTACTCGATACATCTTTCTAACTTGAGAGAAAGCTATTGATAACTACTTTTTGAGGCCAATATTTGGACACACATCTTACAGTAACTTCCTCTGGACCTGGGCTGTCCAACTTCTTAGCAGCTGGGGGCTACACCAGAAGGGTCCACATGCTGTGGGGCATCCACATCAGGATGGGCCATGAGCCTTCTGGACAATCCCTTGCTACACTGGGCACAGGGGTCCTTCCTATCTCCCACTGCACTGGGTGGAGTTTCCATTGCCACTGCACTGGGCACAGGGGTACAGGAAGCAGAAGGAGAAGGAGACCAAAGCCTCTGGCTGCTGCTGCTGCTGCTGCAGTTGGAGTGATGGGAGGAGCAGTGGCTGGCTGGAAGCCCAGGGGCCCGTGCAGGCTGCATATGGCTCATGGTCCTTCAGTTGGACAGTTCTGCTCAAGACAATGTATCCATGGCTTCTTTAAGATGTTGTATGAGAGAGTATCAGAAGCTCTACTTAAATGATGTACCCTGTTTACTGTTTCTCCCCTATCCACAAGACCTGTTACCCAGCCTAAAAAGGAAATTAGGATTCTGTGATGTGACCCGTTTGCGACAAATCCATGTTGGCTCTTTGTTTATTGTTGTGCTATCTTCTAGGCACTTATAAATTGATTGAAAATTTGTTACAGTATTTTTCAGGGAATTGAAGTTGGGATAACTGGTCTACATCTCCTCAAAAAAAACACAACAAACAAAATAAAACAAGTACCATAAATAAAACAAGTACTCTTTC